GAGGAATGTGTCTGTCCCAGGCAGTGGGAGCACAGTGGCTGGACCACATGTCGCTTCACATAAATGTGCTAGAATGTTTCACGGTCTGAAACATGACTAAGCATTTTGCCCCCCGCTGTGGGATCAGCATGTTCTAATCCACACAGACAACAAAGTGACGGCAGCTTACATAAACTGTCAGGGAGGCGTGCGCTCAGCCCAACTGTTAAGCATGCGAGACAGCTGCTGTGTTGAACACACAAAAACCTGCTATCCATCAGAGCAGTGTACATTCCCGGCATCCTGAACAGGGAAGCGGACATAATGTCGAGGGTCGGTCCCCACCACGGAGACTGGAGCCTCCATCCCGAGCTGATCTCTCGGATTTGGAGCAGGTTCGGCTGAGCAGCAGTGGATCTGTCCGCCACACGGGAGAACGCCCAATTATGTCAATTATGGTTCTCACTGAGCCCACGAGACGACCCACTGTTAGGAGTGGACACCTTCGCTCACAGCCCGTGGCCATAAAGGTTCCTTTATGCGTTCCCTCCAGTCCTACTGATATCACGGACCCTGGACCAGGTCCGGGAGGAAGAACTATCAGTCATTCTCGTAGCTCCCAAGCGCATAAGCGCTCCGTTGTTCTCGAATCTGCAGTGACTGATATCGGGTCGGCCGTGGAATCTGCCGTGGAGGGAGGACGCTCTTCTCCAGGCAGGAAGAGCGATCAGGAGTTACCCAGAAATAGGTCAGCACCTTTTGGTCTGGCTACTAAACAGATCCGATTAGAAAAGATGGGCCTCCCACAGGATGTGGTGCGTACGATTCAGGGCGCACGAGCCGCTTCCACCACAGCGCTGTAAGCATCAAGTGGACAGTTTTTCAGCGCTGGTGCGCAGAGAAAGAAGTGGAGGCCATCTCGTGTCTACTAGGTGGCGTGCTGTCATTTCTACAGCAACTGATAGACAGAAATTTAGCGTTCAGCACAATTAAGACTTATGCTGCAGCTACTTCTTCCTGTCATGAGGTTTTTCGGTGACAGAACAGTTTTTAATCACACGCTGATGGAGCGTTTTTCTGAAAGGTGTACGGAGACACAGACCTGTGTCACGTCCACTAGCTCCACAGTTGGACCTAACGATGGTCCTGCGCGCTCTGATCAAAGCTCCTTTTGAGCGTTTAGATCAGGTTTCACTTAAATTTCTGTCATTTAAAACAGCCCTGCTGTTAGCTCTGATGTCTGAAAAGAGAGTGAGTGATTTATTTGTGCTCTCTGTTGCTCTTTCATGTCTCAGGATCCAAGCTGATGGCAGTTCAGCTGTACTGCATCTTAACCCTGCTCTGAAAAGCATCACAAGCTCATTCAGATTGAGAGTGATAACCTTGGATGGGTTTTATCCTCCTCATAATTCTGAGGAGGAAGCAGCATCTCATCTTTTCTGTCCCGTGCGTGGGTTTTCGTGTTACGTGGCGCACGGCCACACTGCTCTCAGCGTCTGTTTGTGCATTACAGCTCTACAGGACGCCCTATATCCACCCAGCGCCTCTCACACTGGTTGTGTGAGGCTATTTCTGAAGCTTACAGTTCATCTGGGCTGGATCCTCCAGAGAATCTCAGAGCACATTTCTCCAGAGGGTTTTCATCCTCCACGGATCTGCATGGAGGGATGACAGTGGAGGATAGTTGTATGGCGGCTGCCTGGTCATCACCGTGCTCAATTATTCATTTTTATCTACGTGATGTTTCTACTTTCTCCATGACCCATTCTGTTTTCAGGGTTCTGACAGAATGATTATTATTTGTTTCACGGAGCCTCACTTTTGATCTCACATCTGCCTGCATGCAGTCGCAGTGTGAGATATTTATTATCAGTCACAAGTTCAGGACTGCTGATTTCATTATTAATCGGTTCATCCTGAGGAGCTGTTGGTCTGCTCTGTTCATTGTTACACTGTTACAATTCGTATCCTCCGTTGTTCTTATTCACAGTAGCAGGTCTGCTATCTCAGCATTTTCCACACCAGAGATCATTTCTCCGGTGCGCTCCTGCGCATGGAGCGAGTAATTATGCAGTGCGTAATTACGCACACAGAAGGCTGAGTGATGAAACTTTTTTTTGTGCAAGTAGGTGCTTCAGGTTTGTGTCTGAATGAACCCAGTGAGGCATAGACTACATCCTGCTTCACCTTTAACCCACTAGCGATAGCCTTAAAGGGTGAAGCCTATACGAAATAGAACGTTGGTTACGTATTGTAACCCCAGATTCTATGAGTATAGGCACAGCCCTTTAAGTTCTGGGCCTCACTGGTTCCTAAATGGCTGAAGAAAAACGCTATTTGGGAGCCGATTGCCCAGTCTCACCGTTATTTATATGGATTGGGGGTGGGGCCCACACAGGCGGTGGGTGCGGACTAACTTTTTCAGTGCTGCGCTGTGCATGAAGGGATAAACCCACTAGCGATAGCCTTAAAGGGCTGCATCTATACTCATAGAATCTGGGGTTACAGTACGTAACCAACGGTCTGAAGTAGAACCCCCCCCACACACACACACACACAGACACTTTGTCTGAGTTATGTAAACTGAGACTCACAAAGGCTCAACTAAAACTCGTTGGTTGACTACCACATATGCCCCTTTCGCACTGCTCCTAATAAGCCCCAACTCAGCTCAGCCCTTCACACCGCTACTCAGCCTGGCTCAGCTCAGCCTTGATTTGCACCTGCACTTTAGGACTGATTCTGGAGGCGTGTCCAGAATCCAAGTCCTGCTAATGAGAGTTCTGCTATGAGTTACTCAAAGTTGCTGTATTCAGCTCATAGCTATTTATAAGACTGAGCTGAATAAGATCCTCAGACTGAAGAAGTCTTTCGAATGAAAGAAGAAAAGTTTCTACATTTTTGTTTTTGTTTGTTTGTTTTTTGAATGTACAGAGGACCAGACTTTCTTGTATACACATTATTTTTTCTTGTATACAGATTACTTTTAGCTTTGAATTTAAGTTTAGCTTTGATTTAAAGCTTTAATTTAAAGTGTAATGCTTGTTTTGTGATTTGTACATCTGTGGGTTAGAATAAAGTTGAACCAAATGCTGTATCTCTTCTTTAAACATGTTTGAGGGAAATCCTCCTGAGAGATTCAATAATTTTGTCTTTTTATAATTTTTCAGTTGAATTAACTTAAATTAACAGATTATTTAATGAAGTCAAAGAGAAAACAGGATTTGACGATAAAGCCGGCACCGTTTATTTATTTTTAATCTTCACTGATAAAAAAAAAAATTGTATTTTATACATAAAATGTTATTTTTTTTTTAAAATGTTTCCATCCCCCGTCCCTCCATCCCGGTCCTCCCGCCTGCCAGGGCTCGAATCCGGCCTTTGTGAGCAGGCGAGGCCGGGGCTCGGGGTTCGGCCTCGCAGGCTTCAATGGCTCGGCAGCTCGTGTGATCCTCCGTGGTGACACCGCTCGCTCAAATTTTATAGTCGGTCACCAAGCACAAGAAACGCCTGGACTTCAGAATTAAACACAGCGTTGTCATTATTCAACATTTTTCAGTCAGGTCATCTGGACAGTTTCTTTTTTTGTGCTGAAACGTTTCGCCTTAGATCCGGAAGGCTTCATCAGTCAAGGAAACACACAACAAAACTGATTCTTCCTCCAACAGCTTACTCCAAAGTGGAACAAACCAGTTCTGCTTGTGATAAGATGGTCTCTTTGGTACGCCCCTCCTCCATTGCCAGCCCTCTTCCTTGTTGACAGTCTTGTCAAACTGTTTGAAAACAACAAAGCCCATGCTCAATAATCCAGGTATAAAATCCAACATTTTTCAGTCAGGTTTGTCGTTGTCATTATTGTTTTTAAAATCTTAAAAATAGATCCAGCCGCTGCTCCGCATCCAGAGAAATTCCAAATGGCGGCTCAGTGAAAAGTTTCTGAGATCCAGTGACTCCTCCCTCTGACCAATCAGAGTCCTGCATTCACGTTTCAGTCCGGACTCGGCTCGACTGTACTCGCTCGGTCCCACCAGAGAAGCAGGGATGAAAAGAGGTCCTGAATCAACCTCAAATCAGCTAAAAATACTAGCTAAAGTACTGGTACAAAAGGGTTCTTTCTGTGGCGGGCTGCCCAGAATTGGGACTTATTAGGGACAGTGCAAAAGGGGCATAAGATTCCCACAATTATTAAAATACAGTCACTTTGATTGGATAACCGATTCAAAACACTGAAATTTGAATATCTGCAGCTCATGCTTGGTTTTAAGACGTTAAGAAAGTAAAAAAAAAAAAGTTGAGACAGTAAGAAGGTAAGACGAATTTGACTGCTCCAGAACCTCTGAGGCTGCACAGGGCCAGATGCTGTTCCATCCTCAGAAGTCTTCTGCCTGAGCACCAACCGGTGAAGAACCGAGACTCCCAGGACACTGCTGAGCCAGCTGCAGGGAGAGACACATGTCTCTAACAACCGACACAGGTACCCTCGGGAGATCTTCCACTTCTGAGATCACCTACCGGATTCGGTCACGAAGCCTGCCTGGTATCTATCAAAGGAGCTGAACCACAACTACCACTAAAGGGGACAAATACCAACCATATCATTCACTGGTGACCATGGTGCTTCCAAATAATACAGCAGTCTAATTCAATGAGTCTTTAATTTGTTTACTAATTTTCAAATTTCTACCAACCTTATATCTTACTTAATTTGTTTTATGATGGCAAGTGTGGTGGGAGTGGTGGCGCACAAGCTAAAGAAGTGGAGCCTGTGATCGGGAGGTTGCAGGTATGAATCCACAGATAAAATATGTTGGATAAAGGTAAAGCACCCACATCTGCTTCCACAAATGATGGTGGAGGCAGGTGTGGGTGTTTCACCTTTGCCACCCACATTTTGATGTTGGTGGTCCGAGGAGTTGAACCAGTGACCTTCCGATCACAGACTCACCTTCTCTAACCTTTGTGCCATGCCTCCCCCTAGAGGGGACTAACAGAATGAAATAAAAATAAAAATTTGAACACACCAGCATCATTGGCGTCATCTAGCTTAGGAATGCCTTTGATCTTGCTGTGTTTCACGGACGAGCACTTCTTGTTCAGTTGTGTCTGAGCTTTGAACTTCACCCAGTTCAGGATACTCTCCACGATGCCACAGTTTGTTGCCTGTAGACCACAAAGAAACAAAACACTTTCATGGTCTCTAATCTAAAACCAACGACTCAATCTTAACAAGAGCAAAGAAACAATCCTTACAGCTCTAACAAACTTCTCTGACAGAAGGCACTTGGACCCAAAGCTCTTCATCTGCAGAGTCATGTTCTCCTTGGTCTGGGAGTCAAAGGTTGGGTTCTCAATCAGTGAATTCACAAAAACCCAGATGTGATTCTTCACCTGAGATATAAATAAGAGGTGGTTTTAAACAGCAACCTGGAGGTGAACAGTAGCTGAGGATTTTCACTGATTGTTTGTGTTGTTACCTGAAAGGGTTTGACTGACACGCCTGCTTTGTTCTTCTTTTTCACCACTTCAATAAGTTTGGTCACAATCTGGTCCACAACATAGTCGATGTGTCTGCCACCCTGAAACATGCGGTTTGTCCTCCTGATGTTAGTAACATCTTTTTAACCAGCAAGGTTTCCTCTTAACCCTCAAAGCACGTACCTTTGTGGTGGCAATGCTGTTGACAAAGCTGATCTGTTGGAAGCCTTTCTCACTCATGGTGAGGCAGACATCCCACCGCTCATTCACCATCTCATGGACCACCTTTAGGGGGACGCCCGTCTCATCCAGTTTGTCCTTCACGTACAAATCCACATAGCTGCGGAACCCGGTCACCTGCAACACCACCCAGGGCAGACACGTGGAAGTTTAATTGTATTTAGGAATTAGAAAATGACTTCAAAATGACCTTCCTACAAAAAGTATCATGTGTGATGCTGACACGCCATTTATGTGGGCACCTGGACTGTAGAAAATATGATGGGGGTATCTGATCTGTCGAAAAGCTATTCTGAACCATGACACTAAACATCAAGAGACAGAAAGAGTCATGGAGAACGATATTCCGCTTAGGGGTGGGTGATATGGCTCAAATATAATATTGTGATATTTCATAACATTCTGACTATAACGATAAATTTTGTGATATAACCAAAAAAAACAGAAATCATAGTTATTCATTTGACAAAATTAACTTAACAAGTTGCTTTGCAGTATTATATAAAAACTAAAAAAAACAAGGTTTAATTTTACTGAAATTACTTTATTCAGTAAAGTATTCAGTCTCAAAGTATAAAAATAAAAAATAAAAATAATCCTTCTGTTATTCAGATTGAAAAAGTCTGCACAAAATATAGATCAATAAATCCACCACAAAAACTAAAATGCAGGTAAAGTTTCCCAAAATAACTAAATAAAATGAAGCTTAACATCTGTTGAGCATAAATGTAACAAACAAAATTTATGTTGCCTTTAAATGGTAAATGGTAAATGGACTGTACAAACCGGATTCCAAAAAAGTTGGGACACTAAACAAATTGTGAATAAAAACTGAATGCAATGATGTGGAGATGGCAAATGTCAATATTTTATTCGTAATATAACATAGATGACAGATCAAAAGTTTAATCTGAGTAAATGTAACATTTTAAAGGAAAAATATGTTGATTCAAAATTTCACTGTGTCAACAAATCCCAAAAAAGTTGGGACAAGTAGCAATAAGTGGCTGGAAAAAGGAAATTGAGCATATAACGAACAGCTGGAAGACCAATTAACACTAATAAGGTCAATTGCCAACATGATTGGGTATAAAAAAAAGCTTCTCAGAGTGTCAGTGTCTCTCAGAAGCCAAGATGGTAAGAGGATCACCAATTCCACCATTGTTGCGCAGAAAGATAGTGCAGCAATACCAGAATGGTGTTACCCAGCGTAAAATAGCAAAGACTTTTAAGTTATCATCCTCAACCGTGCATAACATTGTAGTGAACTACACCTCCGACATCAATCTGTCTCTGAAGACCTTCAGGAGACAGGAACTGTTATTTCATTGATTTGAATCCAGAAATACAAATCATCTCATCAAGAGACTATTTAATTGTATCCTGAATTAATCAATTGAAAGAACACTCTTCTTTTTTATATTATCATTACTATTTTACAATATCTTGATAATCAAAAGTGTGTTTAGTTCATACCATTTCTAATGTTGAAGTAAACCACTCATTTAAATCAACTGTGAAACAGTATTAATGATTTTTAAACCTTAGATCATACAAGTTAAATGTCTATTTACGAAGTAAGTGTGCATTTTAATCTTCTGTCTGAATGAGGTGTGGATTTGTGGTCGGTCAAAAGTCAGAGAATGAGTTATGAGAACAAAGTGCATTGTTTTAAAACTCTCAGACAGTAAATAAGGAACTGGCTGGCACATGCGAGTCTCACTTCTTCAAAATATTTTCCTGTCTGTACTAACCATTCTTAAAAACATTTCTGCTGTCTGTTGACTTCTAATAACCCTCTGACATCACTAAAATTCCACCCCTGCTGGTTGTACTAACCAATCAGGAAGTACCAAGTGACAGGAAGTGGATACCCTTTAAAAGACAACACTTCTTGGAACTATTCAGTCTTCCTGGAACTTTAAGTCTTACAAGTCTTCCTGGAACTTTCAATGTAGGATGAGACTCAGTCTTACTGTAAGACTCAGTCTTACGGCGAGCTGATGGAATGGAACCATGTGCCTATGGTCCGTCCATTCCAGCCGAGTCACAACATGCCTCGTTGTGAACTCACCCCGAGCATTAAATGCTCTCAACTTCTATGGAAGCTTATTCTGTTGAACGGAGTACTTCGTCACGACTTCTGACGATTCCAAGCCACTCTGACCGGAGACGCTGAAAGAAGCGTGAAATGGACCTCTGTACCGGAGCTGATTTATCTTCTGCAAAGGTAACGGGTCGTCAAACGCTGAGTGTACCGAGGGCTGAGCTGGTGTCAGAGGAAGGGTGCCATTTCTGGTCAACACATCTTCCTTCATCCATCTAAATTCTCCTCTTTAAATCTAAATCTATCTTCTCTTTAAACTTCAATTCGCCAGTAAATCAAGCTAGATGCATTCAGAGATGAATCATTCTCCATCAGTAATCTTCTGTTGTCTTGTTATTTGAACTTGCTAAGTTTATTAATCAGAAACAGATCAGCCAATCAAGTGTACATGTTTTGATGTTAAATTTTGATTCTGTTAAATTAATGACCGCATTTATTCTGATGGGTCAAAGATAAATTGGCGTCTCATGTCAGTAATTATACACTCCACTCTCAAGTTATCTTGGTCACATGGCAGAAATTTAACTCGAAAAAGAAAGAATCCGTTGTTAATTAAACAATTAATATTCTTTGTGCTTGAACTAGCCTTAAGAATAATTAATTAGTAGTGTGTCCACAGCACAGCTTTCCCTGACTTTACTACATCATCATCAAAAGATTCAGAGAATCTGGAAAAATCGCTGTGCGTAAGGGTCAAGGCTGTAAAACTCTACTGGATGCTCGTGATCTCCGGGCCCTTAAATGTCACTGCACCTCAAACAGGAATGCCACTGTCAAGGAAATAACAGAATGGGCTCAAGAATACTTCCAGAAAGCATTGTCAGTGAACACAATCCACCATGTCATCCGCCGCTGCCAGCTGAAACTCTACAGGGCAAAGAAGAAGCTATTTCTAAGCAAGCTCCACAAGCTCAGACATTTGCACTGGGCCAGGGGTCATTTAAAATGGAGTGTGGCAAAATGGAGGGCTGTTCTGTGATCAGATGAGTCACAATTTGAAGTTCTTTATGGAACACTGGGACGCCATGTCATCTGGACCAGAGAGGACAAGGATAGCCCAAGTTGTTATCAACGCTCCGTTCAGAAGCCTGCATCACTGATGGTATGGGGTTACATGAGCGCTCGTGGCATGGGCAGCTTGCATGTCTGGAAAGGCACCACTAATGCAGAGAACTATGTTCAGGTTCTAGAACAACATATGCTCCCATCTAGACGTCAACTCTTTCAGGGAAGACCCTGCATTTTTCAACACGATAATGCCAGACCACATTCTGCAGCAATCACAACATCATGGCTACGTAGGAGAAGGATCCGGGTACTGAAATGGCCAGCCTGCAGTCCAGATCTTTCACCTATAGAGAACATTTGGCGCATCATAAAGAGGAAGGTGCGACAAAGAAGGCCCAAGAC